CTAGCCTCCAGGGGATAAAATCAGCAATTTATGCAACACGGGGATCTTGCCCCACTGCCCTGGCGACGCGCCCCCTGTGCCTACCGCTGCTTTGAAGGGCGCAGCCTCACGCTGCTGCCCTCACTGCAGCCCCGCGTGCAGGAGGTGCTTCACCGGGGCAGTGCAGAGTGAGCGGTGCCAAGATGGTCCCGAGAAGATCCCCGCGTGACTCCTCCACTCCCTGCACCTCCTCAGAGAACAGCACTGCAGAGAACTCCCTGTAGGGAACAGCTGCCACCCAGCTTCCCTCCCCTGTGATCCGGTGCTGCAGGGGGCGGAGGAACCGCGAGGGAACTCACCGCCGCTCGCCCCATGCTGCCCTGGTGAAGTGCCTCCTGTGCCCAGGGCTGCACGGCTGCAAGTGGGGCTGTGCCCCTCAGAGAGCAGCAGGGCAAGCACCCGCTGTTCCCTGATACTCTGTTTCCCTCCCTTGGGTGCCTCTGCAGCCCAGCAGGTGCAACTGGGCACAGCTGGGAAGAGCAGGGCTGCAACAGATCTGAACCTATCTTTCCAGTTTCTTTGCACAGAACTCTAACCACCAAATCTTAGAACAAGTACTAGTCAAGACCTTTTGCAGCACTTCTTTTGAAATAGAGTCACTGCTCCTTGCATTTAATATAGTCATTAGAAAAAAAAAAAAGAGTTGGAGGACAGTGCAGAGGGAAGCTTCTACCTTGCTGGGAGCACAGGCCCTAACTAGAACTCAAGGGCCCCTCCTTTCCAGGCCTGCAGTCACTTCATTGAAACACACACCTTTTGTTACTCTTGGCCTCATACATTTTCCACATACTTTTCTATCATTGCTGCCCAGGAGGACAACTTCAAAAGGAGAGCCATATAATGGCCTAAAAGAAGGCTGTTCAACTGGTGGCCTATGGGCTGCATGTAACCCACAAGAGTTTGCCCAGCTCCTGCCCAGCCGTGTCTCCTCCTATCGCTCTGGCTGTAACAGAAGACAGAGTCTCCAGGTTTGCCCTGTGGTGGGGCAGTGTAGTGTGGTATGGCTGGGGGAGCTGAGCATGAGCCTGAGTACACAGTACAGTAACAGACAGGGAGTAAAGTGGGGACCACATGGTGTAGTGGTGGGATGAGGGGGAGAAGGGGTACTGCTTTCCATATGCAGTGCAGCTCAGGAGCTTGCCTGAGGGTATGCATCCCCTGCTGCTGTGGCCTACAGGGCATTAAGGCCCAACCCACTTAAAAGTTGGGCGGCCCTGGCCTAGAAAATGGGTGGTTAGAGGAGTGTGTTAGGAAGTCAGAAGAACTCAGGTTCAAGCTCCCTCTGGGTGAAGAGAGTTTAGAATACAGGTGTTCTACCATCTAAGAATGCTCTAGTCCTTTGGTGCTCAACCCTTTTGCCCGGTGGACGAGATGGGCAGTGTCCGGTCTGTCAGTAGCCTGGATTGGGCCTGTGGTCCTGATCCAGCATCCACAGCAAGTGGAACAGGCCCCTTCTGGCTGCATGGAGGAGGGAGGGTGGCTGCATGGTCCCAACCTGGCCCTGCATAGGTGCGGGGAGGCAGTGTGGCCTGGATCTGATAAAGCTGTGGGGATGGGGAAGAGGAGACATGGCTCGGACCTGATCCAGCTGTGGGGAGGGGACATGGCCTGGCCCTGATCCAGCCGCAGGAAGTAGGTGGGAGGGTCAGCAGCCGGGCTCCAACTCACCATGTGGGACTTGGAGTTTTGGAATTTGGTAGGGGAAAGGGCGGTCAACTAGTGGGGTAATCCCTTAGGTCAGATATGATGGCTCTGTAGGCTGGAAGTTGAGCACCACTCTTCTAGTTACTCAGCTATTGGAGGAAAAGCTAGGAAGTCTCTCTCTTGACCATTCTCCTTTCCTGATTTTAACTTTGGTTGTCATGGGTTTTAGTCAACTACATTTTTAGGTGTCTAAGGCCACTGCATGTCCAGAAGGGGCATGCTTATGTGTCACATGTAGGCTGGTCATGTGCCGATGACTATGCATACAGATTATGCAGCCAGGAACAGAAATCAGATGTAGGTGTAAGTGACATCTTTGGCAATGACATGGCCAGAACTGCCACACAGGCTACATACAACCCTCCATAAAATTTTTGTGGAGACAGAAAATGTGAGCAGACATCTCTTCTTCTTTTTGTGCCCCAAGTGCTCCCAAATGGTGACACAAAGATTCCCAGTAACAGTCTCTGCCACCTTTTCATGGTGGACATCCATTCATTTATGGTGTGATAATATGGGCAGCCCAGGGCTGACCGTACTCTCCAGGTACTCCAGGAAGAAGCCTCCCAGGGTTTCAGAGGCACAATCTTGCAGAACAAGGCCCCAGGTGCCTGGTACCAACCTGGGGGTGTCCTGGAGAATGCCATGTTTCCCACTTTACACTTGGAGACGCACACCACACAAATGTTCTTGTAGGTTATGCATTTCATGCTGCAGAGCAGACGAACGCCATGGGGCTTGGCACAGCTGATATGACTGATTGACAGAGGCAGATGCTGCCCAGCGCCTATGTCCTGGGAGTAGAGGGGCATGATTTTGAAGGACAATGGCCCCAGACAATGTCTGTCTCCAACAATTAAGTGGATCAGCTGTGCTGGGACACATGCAATGCTAGCACAGTTGATCCTGCCACAAAAAGCTATGTCTATTTGTAGCCATAGATGACCCAATTTGGATACTAGATGGCCAGGAAGAGAACAGAATGCCACCCTAAGTAACCAACAGATGACAGTCCCCACCATGGCAGCTTGTATAAATTTCCTTGGTTTATTTTTTTTCTATTGATTGGTTTATTTTTTTCTATTGATCCTTACCAGGAAACATTCAATATCATTAATGATGACATAATTAATTAGTAAACATTCCTGGCCTAAGACAATATAATGAACATTTCTTGCAGGTCTGTCAACACTTCATGGCACGAAACTTTTCAGAATTCAATGGAATAATCAATTTTAAAGGAAATAGGAGACTATTTATTTTTCCTGGAAACTTATCTGAGACTTTAGAATGCCCTTCTCAAGAAAGTAAGAGGAACTTCTGAGGTCATTGCTCTCAGAAGAAAAAACAAAAGTCAGTCTTTAGCTTTGTTTGCTAAAACACTTAGGAAAAAAAAAAGAAAGAAAGCTCACATGCACACCCAAATGGAAAAAAAAAACACCCAGTAAAAAAACCTAAATTCTAGAAACTTTTGTGAAGATGGGGAAATCTAGGTTACTTGTTGGACTCTTATTGGTCTGTCTACACTTTTTCTCACTAGTTCAATTTAAATTTAATGAGTTTAGAGATTTATTTCAGTACAGCAGATTCTGAATGCATATACAATGGGCAACACTTTTACTTCGTATGCCTAAATGGCAGTTTTCCAGCCAAATAATGGCTGTTTTTGGCACTTACAGGTTATGATTAGGTTTGGCAGAATTCAATTTTATTGTTTTTTATAATTTCCACAGCTAAAATCAATGCTTCTTTTTAACCCTTTCTTTAGACTTTTATCTATTTAAATTTCAGGACTGCATGAAATTAGGGGGGTAGGGGGCAGATAGTTTAGTAATAACAGTATACTGTTAAAAACTTTATAAAATCACATTAAAATATATAAAAGTAAATATCGAGAAATCAAGACAGCATAACTATTTTAAATCATTCTGTTCATTCACCAGGAAGGAGCTGGGCAGGTAGGGACCCGAAGAAGAGGGCAGTGGCACTCTGGAGCTCTGGGAATATAGGGAGAGGCAGCAGTTTCCCAGCCTAGGATGGGAAGTAGCTCCCTGCTCCTGCTTACGGGGTAAGTCCCACCAGGTGGGCACCAGCAAGGGGTGGCCCAGCTCCTTAATGGCCATGGCCTCCTGTCCCTCCATGCAGCACAGGGGTATTGGCTGGGTCCCAGGGGCACCCCTATGCACTCTGCCCTGAGCACAGAGGCTAGGCTAGGCAGGAGCTCTGGGAACACAGGGAGAGGCAGCATGATCAGAGCAGGGTGTGCAGGGGTGCCCCGGGACCCAGCTGCTGCCCCCATGCTGCAAGGAGGAGGTGGAAGGCCACAGCCTTCAAGGAAACAGGTCACCCCTGTGGTGGTGCCCGCCAGGCAGCGCTTGCCCTCTAAGGGGTTGTAGGGAGTGGGGATCTGTTTCCCACCCCAGGCTGGGAGGCCACTGCCTCTCTTTGTGTTCCCAGCGCTGCTCCCCAGCATGGCTCCTGTGTAATCAGGGCAGGGGAAAAACTCCCAGCAAGACCCAATCACACAGGGGGCTGTCCTGGACTCACTGGGAGTCTGGTGTCCAATCCCCGGCTGGGACTTGGGCAAGGTGAGCAGCCAGCAGCACCAGGCTCCCACCTGCCAACAGCCCTGTCCCTCCAGTCCTCCATCCCAGCACAGCCCCCAGCTCCTTCAGTGGCTGCTCGAGCTGCTGCCGAAGGAGCAGTGTGCAGGTTACACAGCTGGGGCTCCCCCCACCACACTTCAAGTAGCTGCTATGTACATGCAGATGTGTGAGTGCGTGCAACAGAAATATTTTTCTGTCTGTCTGTGAGTGACAGGTGAAGTGGATGTTTAGCGATAGAAATTGATTCATGCCAAGCCTAGTTATAATTCTACTACACCCACACTGTGGATCCTAAACATGTGCATACACAGACTTAATGTGCTCAACACACTACACCTTGGCTGGGCAGATATATAGATCTGTATGCATGTCCACTGGGGAGATATAAGTGCATGTAGGTCACAGATATGTAGTTGGACAAAAGCCCATTGCTAACAGGTATTAGTTGTCAGAAGAACATGGTCCTTCCATGTTATAGCTAAAATAGTTGGGGCATTCACCCAGGGGGAAGGAGATCTAGCTTCCAGGACCCACTTACCTACATGTGGTTTGAACTTTTGTCACTCTATTTTCCCATTTCAGGGCTCTAAGCACCACACCACAGATTAGACACTATTCATAGCCCTCTCCAGCAGTCCTCTTGAAGCTAAGCCACTGCACCCTGCACTTAATCATCAGCTAAAATGGAGAGAAAGCAGGGTCTGTCCTGGGGAAGTTTCTGCCTGACTGGGGACAAGGGTCCAGGCTAGAGCCCAGTGTTGGCTCCCAAGAACCATCTCACTGAGCCAGACACCCTCCAGTATGTTGTCTTCCTCCTGACCCCTCTCTCGGTTGCTCAGGGTAGAAGGACAACTTCAAAAGGAGCATTTATGGGTGCTGACGGAAGTGGAACCCGCCCCTGCCCCCCCCGCCCAAATCAGCACTTTACCGGCCAGCTCCTTTTATAATCATTCTTTTTTTTTAAATGATGATAGCAAGAATTCAACACATATACGCAATTTTACAATGTTTTATCTGAGCACTTTCTTTAAAGGGTATTTCCATGAAGTTTTATATTGAGAATTTCTTATAGCTTTGAGACACCAGGTTATTATAATGCCAAACCTCAAATGAATACTATGGAAAGATAGCCTGTAACTAAAAATTTCAGAAACAAAGTCAATTAAACTTCACTTACCATAGATCATAAAACTGAATTCTGTTATCACATGTCTATCATTATGCATATAGATAACGCTGCAGGTGTAACTCCCAGAGTCACTTGCATGGATGTTATAGACCTCCAAGTTGCCTTCATCAGTTAAAAGAAATCTTTGTGATTCTGGAAATAAGTGTTAAACACATCATTTTAAATTATTATTTTTATCCAATTATAAATGTATTAACAATCCTAGAAGTAGGGATCAGAACCTTGGGCACCACCATTCCCAAATGAAAACCCTATTCTCAAGGCTACCAAGTCAAATGACACCTTGCTTCAGAGGTGGAGAAAATACAGCCCATGAGTCACCAATTGATCCTATCCAGCCCACTAGGTGCTGTCTTTAGAGGGCTGTGCCTCGTGCCACTCCGCCACAGCTGGGTCTGAGCCAGGCAGCACACAGACCCCTCCATGTGACTCATCCACCCCCACATCCATCCCTCTGCTCAGCTTCCTGTTGGCACTGTGACTGCATAGTCTTGGCACCACAGCCACCAGCAGCCAGGACCACATGGGACAGGGTGCGATGCAGTGCGGTTAGTAGCTGTCCCACTCACCCATTCACCTGCCATGAGAAGACACTACCACTGCAGGGTCAGTAGGAGGTGAATCTGAGCTGGTTGCAGTCGGGGGTTTGCCTGGGGCAGCCGCTGCTGACTTGCCTGGTGCAGTGTGGCGACAGTGGCTCATCACAATGGGCAGGACAGCTACTCAGTGTGTTGCATTGCACCCCATCCTAATGCAGGCCCAGGTGCTGGTGGCTATGGTGCCAGGATTGTGCAGCACCAACAGGAAGCCAGGCAGGG